CAAACCTTTAATAGATCTTGGAAGTGCATAAGTATGTGTGTATGAAAGAGAGGGAGAGACTGTAAGTTAGAGCACATATTTATTTCAATAAATACTTGTAAAGTTGAATTTATTTTGTTTATACTTTTTTTTGCGGGGGGAGGGTAGAATATTGAAACACTTTTCTGGGAAGGGAAAGATTTTGTTTCTGCATGTGAGGCTGTTCTAATACCAAGCACCATATTTAAGCATCACAAATATACACTAAGCAAGGGCCAGATGCACAAGGAATTTTAGCAGAGTTTTTCTAAATGGCAAATAATTAGAGGGGAACAGATGCCTATGGGCAGCAAAGGATGAAATGAGGTACCAGGAATTTTAAAGGGAGATAGAAATGCGTACGTAGAATGTAGTTGGCTTCAAGGGTGTTTAAGCCTAGAGGGCGTTCTCTATCGAGTTCTCTGTTTTTGTGAGTTTGACTTAAATTCTCTTCTCTCTCTACCTGTATTCCCCAAAGAAATAGATCATGCTAATCATGCCAAGTGGAGCAGATTTTCTTCCGAACCTCCGTGTTGGACGAGTCTGCGGCTGCAGCCCTTTCTTCTCCCTCCCCAGGGTCTTGTCCTTTTGCAGAACTGCCAGGATATGACATTTCATAACAGTGTCACTCCTCATTTATTCATTATTTATACCCCATCTACCTCCAAAAGAGGTTTTTAGGGAGCCTTACCCATCAAGGCCGCATACCAGTGCAATATTTTCTCTTGGTGTGTGTTTTAGGGCAGCCGGAGTCCCTCCTGTAGGGCTTGTGACCATTTCCAAACCGTTCTGCATAGTCTTGATGTGGGAAAGGAAACAAGGCACCAAGAATAAAGAGGAGATGAGCAGGAGGCATTTCCCAGCCTCCTCTAGGGCGGTAGTTTAAGCAGCAGGGGCCCTGCGCAGAGCTCTGTAGCAACCCTGGAAAGCTAAGCAGCAGCACCTGATCATTACCCTTCAGGTTTAAGATTTACCTGTTGTGCTCATCGCAACAGAAGAAATGAACTCTCTGTAATTAGATGGGAAGGGGGAGGAGATCGTGCTTTAGTCCCTTTGATCTTGAGCTACAATAGGCTCTGCTTTTGGAAATTTAATTTGAAAGAATCCAATGTACACATCTGCTTTTTGTACCACAATTTCTATTGAGCTTGAGAATAGAAATTTATTAATGCAAATGTGTAGTTCCTTGAGGGGGGGAAAGTACACATTCAAAACACAAGGTGAACCTTTCTGCATGGTTATGGAAGCTTTTTTAACATATTTTCTGTTTTGTTTTGTTTTGTTTTTGAGTGTAGAGATGAGTTTCCTTGTTAACAAGGACTACACATAAAAATTCTAAGACACATTGGGGAGCAGAAAGATTCATGATTGGTTCAGTATTTTGAGGTTTCCAGGGACAGATTCACTGGTAAAGAAAAGGAAACAAACAAACAAACAAACCATACTGACTCTTCAAAACAAAACAAATACAAAAATAAGAACAAATACAAAAACAAAAGACTGAACTCCAAACAAGGGTGTCACCAAGCATGTTGAAACTGTGTTTGATTTGATGGTAGGGCCCATGCTAAGAGCTTCCATTAAGATGAATCAAATCTGCCTAGTGTTCTGTAAAATTGTCTTGCCTGTAAATGGAATGGCATGGAGGTTTGAGGTAGGATGCTCTCTCACCAACTCAGCCTGTACATTTTTTTTCCCCCAACCATTTCATGCAACTGTAACTAAATGATTCAAAATCCTAGAGTGGCTGGAATGACACAGTAATATTCTTGCTAACTTTTACTTGTTTTCAGTGTAAATTTTCCAGTAAAGTCGAAAATGTCATGAGCATTTTTGGACATGAATTCATTAAAGCTATTTTGTAGTCATGTAGACTTTTTTTTTTCTTTTTTGGTAGACTTTCTAGTTGCTTTCCTGAATTCCTTCTCCTCAATAAATCAGCAAAATGAATGATAAATTGTTGGTCAATTAGAGGCGTGCTCACCTCTTAAAGTAGGGAAGAATGTCTATTTTCCATATTTGAGCAAACGAAGCTGATTGCATATACTATTGGTGCATTACTATCTAGACTAAAGAGGGTGTGAATGTTAAAGGAGCCATTGGATCCAGGAAACCACTATTCGTTTTTGGGGGTGTAATGTAATGAGGTGCTGTTGTTATTGCATCTCTACAGCAGCTGGGCTTTGGTGATGTGTGTTCTTTCTATTTTGTTTGCTTTCTTCTTCGAGCTTTTATTTATTTCTTTACCTATTTTGGAGAGAAAGAACAGAGATCTATCTGAAGGGCAGGAAGATTCCCTTTGAGTCGGGAACTTTGAGTTTAGAGCAGGAAATAGAGCTTCCCGTGAGCGCCTGTTGAACTTTGTCCAATTAGGTTGCCACTCTACGCTTAGGATGCTTGCAGATGCCCAGCTTCATTTGGGTTCAAGGATTCCTGGATGAATCTGTGCTACAGGATGCCAAAGGCCATCACAATTATTTAA